GCGCGGTTTCAATGTCTTCTTGTTTTATGTTTTATGGTTATTTTGTTTAAATTTTTGATGGGGGAAAAAAAAAAGATTAAAAAAAAAAAAAAACTTTGTCCGACCTACCGAACCTATGCTGAAATTTCATGTTACCGGAAACACACTATGTTTTTTGTTTGGCCTTATCCTGCTACCATACACTGAAATTCATGAACACAAAGTTGCTGAAATCTTTCAGTCTGGAGGATGTTACAAAGCTATTTGCAAGACTTTGGGTCTATACCCAAGCACAGTCAGAGCCATGAACCACAAATAGGAAAACTCAGAACAGTGGTTTTACATTCCCACAAATGGTCAGCCAACTAAAATTACTCCAAGAGATTAAGGTATCATCCAGAAGGTCACAAACAAGTTGGCTTCAGTCAAAAAGGGCATCTATTGGAACATGCCAAGGCAAAAGCCACTGCTGCTGAAAAAAATAAATGCCCCACATGTGACAAGAAACATCACGGTGACTCCCCACCCAAAACTTTGGGAAAAATATTTTGTGGACTCACAAGATAAATTGTGAACTTTTGTCATAAAATACACCAAGGCATTTGATTTAAAAAAAAAAAAACACCATGCCACCGGTCAAATAGAGGTGGTGGCGTGATCGTTTTGGGCTGTTTTGATAATGCAGGCCCTGGACAACTTTCAATGATTAATGTAAGAAAAAATGTTGACGTATTCCCGAAATTCCTTCAGGAGAATGTCCAGTTAATAATTACGGACCCCATGGACATGCTCTTGGGTTATGCAGCAAATTAATGACCTGAAACATAGCAGCAGCTACACCACTGAATAGCTCAAAAAAATTAACTAAATGAAAGTTTTGGAGTGGCCAAGTCAAAGGCCAGCATAAATCCAACTGATAGGTTTGTCTTCACAGCTAATGTGATGATGAGAGTTTGATTGTGTGCAAGTATTTGTGCGTGCAGCATCTTACTGTGGCTACTATCCTCTTGACAGCAGCCGCAGACAGCTCTTCTCCTTTGGGCTGCTCAACCATTGTGACCCCGAGGTACTTGAGCTGGAACACCATGCCCTCCAGAAGGGTCTCCCTCGTGTCTGTCCAGTTCTCTGGCAGCTCTGTAAATGAAAAATCACAGACACAGGGACACGATGTAATGTAAATCAAGCGAAATGAAATGATGCGAAACCCAAACAAATTCACAGTTAACCCAAAACAGATACGATTTGATTTTAAAACAGTAATATTTTCAAAAAGATGTAGCTTAAATTGGTTTGTGTTATTACAAAGGCACCCACCACCTATTTGTAAACACAGTGTGTGTCTCATTCACTGTCAAATTAATCAACTATTTTAATAACAGGAATAGTTAAGAGCCATTGTTGAACTTCAAATTGTCCAAATCATTTGATTACAGCCCCTCAACAATAATTTGTCTGAGATTTCTGAAGCCATATATGCAAGCAGACCGATTATCTTTTGTGATTAATAAAAAAAAAAGCATTTGATTTCCAAACATTTGCTTTTATTTTGAAAAACAATGACCAAACCAGACTGAACCAGTACAACGTCAAACGCTCTCATGTGATCTTGCCTCATTGTTTGTTATATTTATCACAAAATATGAAATGAAGAACAATTGGTAAATAAACAGTCATCAGAAAAAATGTTTTTGCCATACATTCCAAAGCAAAATAAAAAATATTCTGATTAATCCAATGATATAATCGATACAAAATAAATTCTAAAAATAATAAAATCGCGACAACTCTACGGCCCTTTACATCTTCATTTTTTTCCCCAGTATGTGCCCCTCAGTGCTGGTTTGATGTGACTTGCTTTACACAATCGTGATTTTTGGGGTTGGCTCACGATGAGCAAGTTTGGAAAAAACAATATCCGATCACTGATTCCATCATAATATGGGGCAATACATTTATTAACAACTTGTGTATTTATTCTACAGTCGACCCCTGCCATAATACAACTGATTTGGGGAGGGAAATGATCATTTAAACCTCCAAAATTCTTCAAAAAGTCGAAATAATTAAATAAATAAAAACACACAAACTGATTGGATGGTCAAGGGCTGAGAAGGGAGACGGATTTGCGCAAAGGCTTTATGCTCACAAGACATGCAACAGGGCTAAAAATAGATTCACTTTCAGGCTCATATAAATGTGATGGCAGCACAGAACGACCCCGTGGTGAACAAGATTGTTTTTGCCATCTTATTTCGCAGATCCAATCAATGACTCCGTTGATGGATAGCACAACACAAAATGCAAAAAAAAAAAGGCCTGGATCCAATCGATCAGATGAGTGTAAAGTCTACCGGTAATTTATGTACGGTAATTGTCCCATCCCACCTCTACATCATGCCAAGCACAGAAATCAAAGCCGCTTTGGGCTTTCAAACTCTACTCTGGAGAACCAAACTGACCTTGACGGTTTGGTTTGGGGGAAACTTAACTGAGTCGCTGATGGTGTAGTGGTACTCACGCCGGACTTGTGTGTGGGCAGCGTGGGATCGGTTCCCACTCAATGTGAATGGTCGTGTCTCTCTCTATATATACATACATATATATATATACATATGTGTGTGTGTGCGTGCAGTGATAATTTTACAGTTTACCCCCAGCGACGACCCTGTTCAGGATAAGCGGTGTTGAAAATGGATGGATGAAAAATTAACTGTCCAGGGAGATATCCATACAAGGCCGCTCAATTTACCTGCTCATACTAATATTTCAAAACGAACTCTCAAGCGCAACATTTCACCTTGACAATAGAGTCTGGGGAACCCATTTATCCCCGATAGTGGAATATATCTACCCTACTGACTCTGTTGGAGTCCAGCAAACATGAAACACAAGACAATGAATACAAGATGCCATCTCTGTGGCACTTTGAAGTGTGCTCAAACAGCTTTGTATAAAGCATGACATGCTGGACCCGAAAGACTGTATTCTAATTTTAGATGTTCATAAATCGAGCAAATGCTGCGTCATGTGAAAAGAATAATCCATGTTCATATTGGTCACATTTGTATTCATACAACCAAGCCCCCTGCACCCAGCAGCAGCCTCCGTGGCAGCTCACTGAAGCTCCGACACTGATTTGTACAAACTTCAAAGGCTGTGCTGGAGCTGTGGTTGGCTGGGCATTGAGCGCCACTCGCCTGCGTGATGCTGCTTTGAAATAAGTGAACATGTTTGCTGAGCGGGTAGGGGGATTGCGTTTAGAGAGTAGAGTGAGAAAACATCAAGCTTTGCTCTACCCATCATGTTTCGAGAATAGATTGCAAATGGTGCAATCAGGTCGGGTGGTCTTGTACTGGCACAAGTTCTTTGCAGCCCTGCCAAAGCCTTGATCCTGTTACAACTGGCCAGCTCACGCCACCTCTACACACATTCAAAAGGCCTCACACACACTACAAAAGAAATTATTCTGGCACAGTATGATAAGGTGCGGGTTGAAAACATCTTTGAAAGCTCAAGGAGCAAAATCATAATTTACAATTATGTTACACTGGTACCAAATCATGGAAAATTCAAGTTCTTTTTTGAACAATTTCCCAATAGCGCTAATGAGCCATCCCTCCGTTAAATAGAGGTTGTTATGTACTCCAACTCTTCCGATAATTTTTTAACCATCTCGACTAATAATACACAAATCAACTAAACTGATAATTACGGCACTTATGCACGACAATCACATTATTGAAAACAAGTTTTGCAGTTTCCCCCACCCCATCTCGTCTTTGCTTTGCTTTATTTCTCCAGATACACTGAAAGTATTGTAATTTTCTCTTCATCTTTTCTCAATTTATTCAGAAAACACATTTGACATATTATTCACAACAAAATAAATAAAGGATGATTTTTTTTTTCACAAATGGTCCTAATAGATTTCATTCAAAACATGTGGTAGTACAAAAAGTTTGTAAGGAATGCAAAAAAGTGCAAAGAATTAGAATAAATACACGAACAAAGTGCTTCATGCAACTTTCAGGTGCACCAACAAATTTAACTCAGGATGTTCGATACCACTTTTTTTATTTATTTTTTTTAGACCAATACCACGACTCAGCTTGAGTACTGACCAATACCCATGTGAAGTGAACCGATACCACTCCAGATTTTGATACAGTTCCTCTATTTTAAAAAAAATATTGGGAATTTTATCTTCCATGAACACCTATTTGTTTGGTGTGCATCACGAGGAAGGCAGTAAAGCTCGCAGCAGCAATATTTGTTTATGCAATGAATGATAGTAACAATTCAAAATAAACCTTGGCTTACGTGGACATCAATGCGGTTCATCAAAGAGGTTCGACTGTATTACCGTATTATTTGCTCCAGTTATTCAAGGGTCAGCGAAGCGTACAAAGCTTTGTTTCTTATTTAGTGAGCTATTTTCTGTATCACAGTACACGCATGTCCGTGTGAACATCGACTTTCGCGGCTTACAGTACATTCATTCGTTACAGAGGATTTTAGACTGTTGGAAGTGCTCATTCCATGTTTATGTTTTTTTTTCCCCCAGAGGATTCCACAAAAATGGCAGCCACTTGTCACATTGCAAATATATGGAGATGCTTTATTGAGGTGATGTATTCAACTTCTGCCATCTGAGTGGTTCGTCTCCTACTGAGAAGTCAAAATTACTTTGTTAGCTTTTCAGGGTTCTATCTGAAGCTAAGCAGAGCCAGCCAAAATCAACTAAGCCATGTAACTACCCCACCTGTACTTCAATTTACAGCAACAAAACAAACTGAAGCACTTTCATGGTTTGGGGTGGGTTTACCTTGGTATATTGAGGATTTACAAATAAATGTATGGTCCTTTTTCCTGGTGGTAAAAGTCCGTTTTTTTTTTTTTTTAATTATCATTATTATTCAGTGACCAACATGTTATGAAAATGGTGCTACAGTCAAAAAAATGACCATATGTCTGGACATATGGCTGAAGGAGCTTTCATTAATTATTTCTAACCAGGATGGGAAAACTGTCTCTTTGAACCATGACTTCACTGTCTTTTTGGAATCACTGGGATTTATTCACGTCATGTCATATTCTATTGCTTATTTCACCTGACTTCTTGCCGATGGTGACACTTCACAATAAGAGCATCCAGAAGTTCAGCAAATATTACGGGCTTACAGCAGCATAAAGTAAACCTCCCACGGCTGAATAATACAGGCAAGAAATACCTCTCCCCTCTAAGTGCCCCACCAGAGAGTTTACAGCCTCGTGGTGACAATGTTGTCTAAAATCTCATATTGCAGAAACCATTAATCTTGTAATCTAAAATGTTTATTAAAACTCGGCAACCCACTTGGAATGTGCCTGGAGTGCTTCCATACTATACACAATATAAGATAAGAAAACCTTTATTTGTCCCACAATGGAGAAATTTGCTTCTGTCATACGTGACTGCTGCCCTGTTTGGATGTGGGTGCCACCTGCTGATCATGTATTACTCTCATCAATAAAACTAAGCGATGGATGCCCTGTGTGGCTGCCATATGTGACATGGGGGGGGGG